TTTATTTTCTTTATTTTAACATTTCTTGTTTGTTTTTTTCACTTCACAGCTTTATTCCTGAAACTGGGGAGAAAAAAATCAATACTTCCGGTAAAAACATCTAAAACATAAATATTCTTTCTTTAATGAAAAAGCTTCATCTTGTTTGAACAAAGAAAAAAAAATCATCCAGAGACAGTTTATTCCTTCTTTTTTTAATCCTGAGCTTCTGTTTTGCTTCTTTTTGGTTTAATTTCAAAACGCAAAAACATAAAGATGACAACTTTCAGCAGCTCTGAGACGCTGAAAATAAAAACTGAAAATCTAAATTAGTCCTGAGTTTAGCCTAACCTGCAGCAGGTAAAGGTTCATCTGCGTTGATTCAAAGTCAGTTTTCAGGGAAAGTGAATGATTCTGACAGGATTATTATAATTGTAATAATTGAGTGTATTTGAATGTAAATCTGTGCCTCTTCTGTTCGAACTGCTGCTCTGATCCTCAGTGAGTTGAACCCTCTGAATGTTGCTTTAGCTGCTGCTGAATCAAACCTTTCTGATGCAATAATAAAGCCATTTGAGCTTCTTAAACTCTGTTGTTGTTGATGTTTTTGTTCCTGATCCAACGCCTGCGTCAAACATCCACATCTTCTCTTCCTCTGGTTCTGCTCCGGGGGGGAGGATGGAGGTAATGATGCTCTACGGTTTCCATTATCTCCTCACCACGGTTGGGTGAGCTCAGCCCCCTCCTCCAGCTGGAGGAGGATGACATGCAGTCACCGAGATGAAGATGGAGCCTCCTCCTCCTCATCATCGAGCTCGTTCAGTGGGCGAGGTGTCCTCTAACCTGAGAGCTGTCAATCAAAAGGTTCTGCTGAGCTGAACGCCCACGCTGCGCCTCAGAAAGAACAGAACCAGTCGATGTGTCTGGGCTGCAGAAACATGTCAGCTGCGGCTGACGGAGCAGGACACTGAACATGTTGAGGCAAGAACAAAACAACCAGAGTCCTCAAACATTAAACTGTTATTTTCTGTAGCTAAGACGCTTCACTTGACAATTAAGAACTCTCTGTTCAGCACTGGAAAGTGTGGAGTCACAAGCTTTAAATTAAATTTAAAGAGTAACTTACCCCAAAATTAACTTTTTTTAGCTGATAAACTGTCTAGAATGTGTCTAAAATGTTATAT